CGTGTATTCCTCCCCCCTTCCCTGCGAGATTTAGATCCAGGAAGAGGAGGGACACTGCTCACAGGCCCCTCTGTCCTCGCAGCTTGCCAGGGAGGTGGCTGCTCCATCTCGGATGCCCAGACAATCGGGATTTGGGTGGAACAGGACTGCCAGCCCCTCGTGCTGGCTGACCAGGCTGTCCCATGCATTGCAGGCTTCCAGGGCTGCTCCAAAGGCCGTTCCAGAGATCACCTGGGCACCCGCTGCCTTCTGACCTCCACGTCTCGGCGTGAGTAGCTACTGCCGGCGCACCCGCAGCCACATTTCGGCCTCCCCTCGAGGCACAACCCTGCCCTTTTGTTCACCAGCCCAGCTCCTCTTTGGTGCCCTACTCCCTCACCTTCACCACGATGACGACCTTGCCCTGCTTGAGGCCGACGGCGACAGCGGAAGCAGCCGTGTCCTGGGATGTTTTGTCTGTGGTGATGATTTCCAGCAGCTGCATTTTGTCGACCGGGGAGAAGTAGTGCATCCCGATCACCTTGGCAAAGGAAGAGCTCAGGGTTAAGCACGGCTAAGACAGGCTTTGGCTCCCAGAGTGATGTGCTGGGCAAGTGAAGCAGCCCAAGGGCAGAGGGAAGCAGGCCAGCGATGGGCTGCAGGACCCAGAACCATCCATTCATCCTCACGGAGCACGGAGTGCTCTCCAGCTCCCCTTCTCTCCCTGGCTTTCCCAGGACACAGCACATTCGCCACAGCTCCTTCCTCAGTGAGGATTTAAGGTCAGGGGACCAAGAGCGCTGCTCAGCTCCGGACTGGTTAATAGTGGCAACAAAACCCATTGGGAATCTTAGCGGAGCTCAATTCCCAGATAAATTATGGGCACGGCGCGATCCGCAGGCACTGTCCGAGCTGGCAGAGGAGCCACGTGCCCAGGTGGTGCTTCTTCTGGCCTTGGAGAGTGGGACAGCAGCCACAGAAACAGGTGTGGAGCAGAATCCCTGTGTTCTGCTTGTGGCTCGGGGTGGGTTTTCTGGTGGTGAAGTGAATTTGAGGAGTAGAAGGGACGTTTCCAGAAACCCCCCTGGGAAGAGCACCCGAGGGGAGATGGCTGGGCCGTGCGCCTCGCTAATGTGACCTGGAATTGTCACCTTCCTGCCTCCTGGAAGCTGCACGTGGCACTAAGGTCTGTGTAAGCCAGAGGCAGCTTGCAGGAGAGCAGCAGGCTGCAACGCTAATTAAATACACTAATCAGTTAACTGATTTCCTATTAGTTTGCCCATCAAGAGCAGTTTACTCAGCAAGAGGATGTCATCTGCAGGTATGAATAAGACTCGGTTTGCATTTCCGACGGCAAAGCGGGAAGAGGCGGATGCAGGCCACAGGCACCTCCAACAGCCGGGCCACGCGTTGGAACGCTCTGGCCATACTGCCCTGGGCAGCTTCCGACCCGTGCAGGAATCCAGGGAACCAGCCAAGGGTACCTGTGGTGTGCATTTGTGCAAGACTTTTCCCACTGAGCTCCAGAGCTTCCCCCTCCTTCTGCCCAAGCTGCTTCTGCCTCCCTGTCCCGGAGCTTTGCAGAGGGAGGTGGGATGATCTCACAGGGGAACTGCTTGCCCTTTCCTTCATTTTCTGCACCCCAGGTGGGGAAAGCAGATTCCTCAAATGAAGGGGAAGCATTTCCCCCTTTTTATACCTAAGAGAGGTGACTGCTGGTCACACCGATGGCTGCACTTGGTACCCTCTTCACGTGGGGCATCTGGAGCCAGAGAGAGAACCACACCACCCCCTCCAAAGCTGATCCCATGGCTGACCAAGGTTTTGGGTTCACCACCTCCGAATTCAGCTTCCAGGCCTGACTTTCCTTCCCTTTTTGCTGCGAGGTTAGTGCCTTCTCCCTGAGAAGGCTTTTTCCCCATCATGGCAAGTCACTCCTATGTGTAAGAGCCCTCCTGGCTGGAATCCTCTCAGCAGGAGTCCTTCCCTACCCCCACCAGCATTTCCTGAAGTGCGCTGACCCCCCTGCTGCACCCTGCCTGGCCAGCATCCCACTTGGGACGAGTCTACCTCCATCCCACTCCTACCTGTGCAAGGACCAGGCTCTTTGTTCAATACCCTGGGGGCAGAGGATGAGCTGTTTCACCTTCCGAGGAGGAAGGAGAAGATCCCAGCGCTCGCCCGCGGCGCAGCCAGTTTGCCCTAACAGGCAGCTCGGCACGGAGCAGGCTCACGGCACGTGGCAGCGGGTACTCACCTTCTCTGGCCTCTTGCTAACAGCAGCGATTTGGCTGATGGGGAGGGCAGACGTGTTGCTGGCGAAGATGCAGTGAGCAGGGATCACCTGTGGCAAGGAGGTAGAAGAGGGAGTGTAAACACACAGGCGCTGGAGTCGGATCCGGAGCGTGACGTGCACAGCCCTGGGAGAACAGTGCCAGCACCCTGACAAACCAGGCAAACTTCATCTTCTCTGTCAGGGAAGACAGTGCTAGAAACTAATTCTAAAGCAGCAGCCTGAATCAGCCAGACTGGGCGTCCCTGAACTCCCCCTGGGTCTGCAGTTTTCATCTGGGAGCCCCCGTGCTTCTGCCAGACCACTGCCACGTCAGACACTGCGGGCAGGGACCGCAGGAAGGTGCACAGACCGGCTCCTGTGTCTGGGGGGCTACAAGGAAGCTGGGGGGGATTTCTTCCAAGGGCAGGGAGTGACAGGACAAGGGGTGACGGGTTTAAATGGAAGGAGGGAGATAGAGATGGGACATCAGGAAGGAATTCTTCCCACAGAGGGTGGGGAGCACTGGGACAGGTTGCCCAGAGAAGCTGTGGATGTCCCATCCCTGGGAGTGTCCAAGGCCAGGCTGGATGAGGCTTGGAGCAACCTGGTCTGGTGGAAGGTGTCCCTGCCCATGGCAGGGGATGGCACTGGATGGGCTTGAAGGTCCCTTCCCACCCAAACCATTCCATGATTCTGTGACAAACCCAGCGGCACTGGACAGGACACCCCGTGTCTCCACCCTACGGGGGCTCCATCCAGCACAAGCTGCTCAGAACCGATACTCACGGCCTCCACCTCCTTCAGCACTTTGTGCTTGATGTTGATGTCCTCGAACACAGCCTCGATCACCATGTCTGCCTTCTCAAAGCCCTTGTAGTCCAGCTGGCCTGTCAGGTTGCTGAGAATGGAGTCCCTCTCAAACGATGTCAGACTCTTCTTCTTCACCTTGCCGTTCAGCCTAGGGAAGGAGAGCTCTGTCACAGCCCCTGGGCAGCCAGCCCTGACTGCTGGAGGTGCAGCACAGCTCCAAGGGCTGTGCCATCCCTCCCTCCTGGAGCTGGGACCCAAACCACCATCTCCAACCCAGCAGGACCATCGCTCTGCCTACTGGCTCCTCCTTCCATGTGGAAAAAGGAGAGCCCTGCTCACACAGCTCTGCTGGAGCACTAGTGTGAAGGTCAGTCGCCGACATTCCTGACGATGCGCTGCTGGGCCAGGAGGACAGGGAAAGGTAATCCAGCTTTTCAGATGCCTGACCCACTGCCTCCCCTGACACAGGCCTCTGGGCAGCCAGGATTAGTCCCCTCCCCCCTCAGCTCTATAAGCTACTGCTAAATCTAAAAGCTAAAGCAATCGACTGTTAGGTTGTCTACCTACCTAAGGAGCTAAGGCTGAATACCCTGGGCCTATTTCGTAGCAATATGCCAGCACACTGCATAGGGCAACCTTAAAAGTGCCTTTCTGGGACATCTGATGGTACAAGACTCCCAAGAAACAGAGGAGACAGGAGTTCCTGACTGCCCGAAAGCAGAGCACTATTTTCACTAAAGGCAGCCCCATCCCACCCCTAGAAAATTCCCTTTAACTCACGTACCCCTTGAAGACTTGCTGCTGTCCTCTGTCCAAGCCTTGCTGTGCCGTGTCCTTCAGAATGGTCTTCAGGCCCTTATCCACCGAAACCTGGGCGATCCCAGCTCCCATGAGCCCTGCTCCCAGCACTGCCAGAGTCCTGCACAGAAAAGGACCAGGAGACACATTCCAAGCTAGACACAGCTGAATTTCCATCGCTACCATCGAGCTTCTTGCAGAGATCCTATGTGCAGAGGCACTATGTTTAGTGAGGTCACACAAGATTTCACTTGTGGGTGAGACCTCTAAATTGCAGAGGCTCCTGGAAGCCTCTCTCTGCTCTGCTACACCGTTTTTCGGGACTCGAGGCCACTCGGTCCCAAGAGCCTCCAACTGCTCCTCAGACACCCCACCCCTGCACTTACTTGACTTCTCGCTGAGGTGTCCCAAACTTGTTCTTCTTGCAGCGCACCTGCCCGTGGTAAAGTCCTATCAGCGCCTTGGATTCCTTGGTCATTGCAAGTTGGCCAAAGTTCTGCAAGGAAGGCCAGAGGGAAGCAGAGAGTTTGGTGTTTAACAGCTTCCAGCACACAC